AAAAAAAAATCCCTTTAATGAGAGGAAATCATTAAAATCACATGAGGTAAAAAGGAATCCAAACTTGAACTAATTTATTTTTCCCCATTATGAGCTCCATAAAGGACAAAGAAATTGTTCAGGATGCTGGCAGACCTTGCCATGTCAGCACTTTGCTCACTTAGTGCCCCTGAATCTAATGCAAGTGGGAAAAGAGGTCCCTGTGTTGAATTGCAGCAGCTTGTACAGGTGGGAATTCTTCTCTATCAGTGGATATTGGTGAAGAGAGTTCCCTCAGAATCCAGCTAATGCTGTTTATCTTTCACCTTTGTAAGCACTAAAAGTTCACTGCCTGCCACCAAAGTCTAGGAACTTAAATTCTAAATAATCTATTTTTTTTAAGATGACTCAAAGCATTTTTGTTCTCTCTAGATGTACAGGGGCTTCCAGATAATGCCACATGTTCAGTACATCTATACAGAAGCCTCTGAGAGTCTTTGTGGAGTCAAGCTGGAGGTCAACAAGTACCAGTATCTGATTACAGGTAAAGGACACTACTTTCTTCATAATCAAAACTTCTTTCACTCTGCATACACACCTGCTAGAGACATGGACAGCTGTGTTGACAGCTCTATAAGCAGCTTCCCAAATATTGTGATGGCCAACAGTATTTCAGTATTTGGTATTTCAATGTGCAGAGGGTCAAATGACTCACTCTCAGCTTTAGATTGCCCTCTCTGTCCTTAAATATCTCTCTTCTACTCAGCCATGTAGCGACAAGTATGCTGTATATCAGTAAATGGCTACCACTTCATACCTGAGCTGGCATGTCTTTCCCAGGGAACAGGTTGCCACTCAGCTGTGAAAGAAATGGAAGGTGTCATTTGGAATGAGCTGGAGTAGTTCAGGGTGTTGAGATGAGAGATGCAAGGAGACAGAGCTGTGAGAGTTCCCAAGCTTGAGAGGAGCCTGACAGTGTTATTCACCTGTGTGTTGCTGGTGGTGTTTATAGCTCGTACAAAACTCCTAACTTACAAAGTGCAGTAATCTCGCTGGCCAACAGGTCTTGAGCCAGTTAATAAAAAGAAAGCAGTTGCTGAGCAGTGGCTGAAGCCAAACATATTGAGAACATTAGCAGTCACAGCAGACGAGCAAAGGGGTTGAGCTGAGAAGTGCTAACTTGTGATCGTGTCTCTCTTCTCAAGGTCGTGTGTACGAAGGGAAGGTTTACACTGGCCTGTGCAACTGGTATGAGAAGTGGGATCGTCTGACTCTGTCCCAGCGTAAAGGACTAAATCATCGTTATCACCTGGGCTGTGGATGCAAGGTATGTCGTGTCTCTAATAAGGTGGCATTAAGATGTTCAAACTAGAATTCAATTTCTCTGGCTGATAATACCAATGATGTTGGTGCACAGCCAGGAAAGGAAATGGAGGACAGCAGTTTTTGCAGAGGAAACCGAACAGTTCAGCTTTAGTTTTGAGACCAGTGAAGAGACAAGTCAAATACAAATGTTGTGTCCACACCTTTTTAATGCCTTGTCAAAGTTAATTTGGGCTGGGGAACCCTTTCAGATTCCTTGCAGAATCATTTCACAGGTGAATAAATTTATGTACCGAAGGTTTGGCAAGATAGGTCTGGTTTTTTTCCTGTGTAAACATTTTGAGTAGTTAAAACCTCACAGCCTGGCAGTGGCTCTTAGATGTTGCTCATGGCCCCAGGCCTGTAAAAATAAAGGCACAAGCTCAGTTTTTCTGCACCTGAAAAGCCCTTTTGACTCTGGAATTGCCTGTGTATGTGAAATAAAGCACATGCTTACATGCTTACTGAACTGAGGCTGAATTTAGAGTTAGCAAATTGGGAGAGGAATTTTAGATCGCTTGTTTTTGATGAAAAGATATTTTGCCTAGTGTTGATTTCCATGTCACCTCACCTGATTGCTTTTTGCAATTGCAGATCAGGCCCTGCTACTATTTGCCCTGCTTTGTCACCTCCAAGAATGAGTGCATTTGGACAGACATGCTCTCCAACTTCGGCCACTCCGGATACCAAGCGAAGCACTATGCCTGCATCCAGCGGGTGGAAGGTTACTGCAGCTGGTATAGAGGATGGGCACCTCCAGATAAAACCATCATCAACGCCACAGATCCCTGAGCACATTATCCCTTCTGTATCTCCCCTCTCCCTTACTTGTGGCTGAGCTTCCTTTGGACACTAACTCTTACCAGATCATGATGATGACAATGAAATTAGTGCCTGTTTTCTTGCAAATTTTAGCACTTCGAACACTTAAAAAAAAAAAAAAA